CCCCAAAACCCCAAAACCCCAAAACCCCACTATGATGAAATTGATTAGTTAATTTTAATACCAATTTAAATGATTTATGTAAGAGTTAAAAGGATTCTGTACTATTTGTAAAGATTTGCTCTTTGTATTAATTTATAAAATTATTATGCCAGGCCACCACATTCCAAGTAGGAATTAACAAGGACCTGTTACAAAACTCGTGTTCTTAACAGTTTTGGGACTAACCCTTCTAACAGAACCTTCTCAACAAAGCTATTAAGCAATTTTCAAAGGCATGAATGCAAAAGAAAAAGTGAAATTGGCCGATGATCTCGAATATTATCAAAGCGCTGTTGATCACATTAAGCGAATCATAGATGAAAAGAGTGGGCTCAGCTCATCCTCAGCAAGTGATGGAAGTCACAAAGGCGGAGCTAAAAGTTAAGAATCAAAGTTTGGTCACAAATCAACTTCCATAATAAGCACTCTAACTTGTGATGCTTGCTGGATTGCAACTGATTTGTTCCATGATTTAGTCAGTAATTACATTGTCTAAGATTTGGTAGAGACTGCTGGTATTCTTGTGTGTAGCACCGATTTATCCTTTAGCATTTGCAGAGGGTATGTTAATTCATTGAAAGATGTCGTAATTAAACAACTAGAAGGCATAATAACTTCTCCTAAGTATCTTTGTACTGATGCTCTCAACATATGCGAACAGAAATACTTTGAGCTCTTAGACCCAAATGATTTCACAGGCAAGATGCTGGCTGATAAGCCTAATGTGATCTAAAACGATGATTTCATGAATAACTTATATGAAACAATCAACAACGATTCAAATAAGAATCTCAGACCAACCTTCAAGGCTGTTCACTTCACAGATGTTCATACTGATTTTTACTATGTATCAGGAGCTTCAACTTAATGCGACAACATTATTTGCTGCAGAAAGGAGAATGGTTTCCCAACAAATAAGAGTATCTAAGCAGGCCCATTAGGAGCTTATGGCTGTGATATTCCTATTGATGTGTTGACCACAATGGGTGATTACATAAATGCTGAAATCAATCCAGATGTGATATTTTGGACTGGTGATATTACCCCTCATGACCAGTGGCATTATACAGTTGATTATGTCACTGAGTATCAGACCTGGTTAGCAAACTTTATGAAGGCTAATTTCTCTGATTACGTAATTTACCCTCTTGAAGGAAACCATGATTTCGGTGAGGCTAATTCTTAGAGTTTCATTCAACCTGATCCAATGCTAGATATTAATCTTAAGCTTTGGAGCGAATGGCTTGATGAAAATGCTTAATAATAGTATGCTAAGGCTGGCTATTACACTTAAAAACTAAAGCTTAAGAATGGAACTGTTTTTGACAAAGTAAATGTGGTAGCTATCAACTCTCAACCATGCTATCAATTCAACTTCTATCTTTGGAATGAAAGAGACGACCCTGGTGGTGTCCTATAATGGCTTAATGAAACCCTTCATGCCATTGAAGCTCGTGGGGAAATAGCACTATTCATCTCACATATTCCACCTGGAGAAAAGTCTTGCCTATATCAGTGGTCTATTAGATATAAGGCTATCACAGATAGATTCCAACACCTAATTAGATTCTCCATCTTTGGTCACGTGCATGAAGAGATTCACAATACTGTGAATGCTGTTAAATCTGGAAAGCCTATCGGAGTTCAGTATTGGTCTGGATCAGTTTCTACTTTCTCAGAGATCAATCCCTCATTCAGAGTATTTGAATTCGACCTAGAAACTTTCCTACCAGTTAAGATCTCAACTTATTTCTTGAACCTAGAAGAAGAAAATCCAAAATGGAATTTCCACCACGAAATGACTGATGTTTATGGAATGAAAGATTTAAGTCCTTCCAGCTTTAGAAATTTATCATAGAGAATTTTAAATGATGAGTAAACTGCAGTACTCTATACTGTAACGAAGTCGCAAGGAGCACCATAAACTAGAACTTCAGTCTGTGACTAAGCCTGCAGATAAGACGCATTCTGTGAGACTACTAACAATGTTTATTTGGAATACAAGTAAGTATAGTTGATTTTATTTTTAATAGGGATTGCATGGGAGAACCTCGTTATTCTCTTAAATAAGATCCACTTGACACAGCTCTTGAATATCTTGCAGATCCTTGGATTAGACCTGTTTGAAGTAGAAAGGAATAACAAGAATTTTGAATTCTTGAGAAAAGCATAATTCATTTAGAACATATATTGCATACTCTAAAGGTGCGAGATGTTTGACTTTCATCCTAAATTCTAATTTTATTCAATCAAATTCAAAGAATCGAATTCAGAGTCACGGGGTTTTGGGGTTTTGGGGAGATCGGAA